CTGTTGACTCGGATGCTGGACTCCCCTAGCGGGAAGGAGGAAAAAAAAGCTCCGGGCTGGGGGAACGCGGCGGGGAGCGGAAGCCCCTGCCGGACGCCGGCCAACCAGACACCAGCAAGGAGGCAGGTGACGGGGCCCCTGGGGGCGTGGGTGACCATGAGCCTTCGACCGCTGAGCGTGGGCAATGGAGCCAAGGCCGGGGGCTGCTTCCTGGGCAGCGCCGTCCCCGGCAACAGGCTGAAGCAGCGCAGGAGCCCGCGGAGAACAAAGGGGTGCCACAGGCCAACCTGCTGAGCTCCCAGGACAAGGAGGAAGAAACCAAAGAAGTTCTCAATGTGAAGAAATCAAGTGAAAGCAAAAGATAGTAAAATTACTTAAGAAAGAATACAAAGAAGTTCTTGAAAAATCAAAGACTAAGTCAGAACTCAACTCACCAGCCAACATTGCAACATAAATGCGTTTTTTTAAAAAAAAAAAGAAAAAGAAATGGACAGAATGTTGGAACAGCGGCGGCCAGGCCTAGAGTGGCCAGGCACAAGGCAGTGGCAGCCAGGCCCGGAGCAGCAACGGCCAGGCCCCAGAGCAGCAGCAGCCAGAACCAGAGCATCAACAGCCAGCACTGGAGTAGCCAGACCTGGGGCAGTGGCAGCCAGGCCTGAGGCGGAGGTGGCCAAGCCCAGGGAGGCCAGTCCAGGAACACCCAGACCTGGAGTGGCCGGGACGGAGAAGCCGGGCCCAGAGCAGCCGGGGTGGGAGCAGCCAGACCCAGAACAGCAGTAGTCAAGCCCAGAGCATCCAGGTTGGGAGTGGCCAGGCTCAGAGCGACCGGGCCCGGGGCAGCTGGGCCCAGAGCAGCCGGGTCGGGTGCGGCCAGGCCCGGAGCAGCGGCTGCCAGGCTGGGAGCGGCCAGGCCCGGGGGAACAGCCGGGTCGGGTGCGGCCAGGCCCGGAGCAGCGGCTGCCAGGCTGGGAGCGGCCAGGCCCGGAGCAGCAGCAGCCAAGTCCAGAGCAACTAGGTCGGGAGCAGCAGTGACCAGACCTGGAGCAGCTGGTTGTGGAACGAACCAGAGCAACAGAGGCCAGGCCCTGAGCAGCCAGGCCCGGAACAGCTCGCTCCTCACCTGCCCCTGCCCCACAGCTGCCTCTCAAACATGGCTGGAAACTTTCGCAGGAACTTGAGGGTCTGCTGAATCAAGTGATGAAGGCTTAGATTTGGATGTGTTGAGTTAGTATAGGGTTGGGGTGTTGATCTGTGAGTGCCTTGGGTGGGGCCTGGATGAGGCTAGCTGACCTATTGGGAAATGTCTTTTGTGTGAAGTGTATCATTGGGCATGTGGAGGTATTATTGATATGAGAAAATGCTAAGTAACTGATTTACTATCTGAAAAGGGATTTACTATCGGGGAAAGGGAGGGAGGAAGAGACTGAACATAAACTGTGCACCTATGGATGAAGACAATGGGGGATGGGAAGGGGGCGGAGGGTGGGGTGGGAACCTGGTGGAGGCGGGAAGAAATGAGGAACCTTTGTAATAATATGAACAATAAAGATTGGAAAAAAAAAAAAAAGAGTAACAAAGTTTACCATCTCCACTTCCTATTGTCCCCATCATTTTTCAAGCTGTAGCTCTGGCTACTTCCTTCAACCTCCCATTAATCTATTCTCAAAAAGGTCATTCCTACTAGTGGTTAAATCTGATTAGTGCTATCCAGATCTTAACTTGCTTCGTGCCCTACAGCTGCCCTGTCCAATACAGTAACTACTATCCATATGTGGCTATCAAGCCCTTCAAATTTAGTGAGTACAAATAATCAAGAAAGTGAATTTTGCCCATGTGAAAGTGGCATGTCTCAGTGGTTGAGCATTGACCTATGAACCATTAGGTCACAGTTCAGTTCTCAGTCAGGGCATATACCTGAGTTGTAGGCTTGATCCCCAGTGTGGGCCATGCAGAAGGCAGCTGATCAATGATTCTCTCCCATCATTGATGTTTCTATCTCTCTCTCCCTCTCCCTTCCTCTCTGAAATCAATAAAAATATATTTTTTAAAAGGCAAATTTTGAAATTTTAATTAAATTTAAAAACTGACATTTGATTCAGTCATAGGTTTCTTTGGAATAATTTGTGTATACGAACCTACTTTGTCAACTATAAACTTAATGAAAACTACAGATCAAGAATTTCTGAAAATTTTAGCATCAAAATTAACATGTAATGTAAGCCTAAGTGTAACATACACACTAGATTTCAATGACTTAGTATGAAAAAAGGTTATAAAATAATCTCATTAATAATTTTATATTAACTATATGTTGAAATGATAGTATTTTGGATATACTAGGTTAAATAAAATTATTAAACTTAATTTTACCTATTTATTCTTCTTCAAGTGGCTATTGGAAAATTTAAACTTATCTATGTATTATTTTATTTCTACTGGACAGTGCTGCACTATAGGATTAGATTATTAGAATGATGGCTACTCATTCCTTCTTAAAATGCTGCTGCTGCTATCTCCATTTATTTCCTTGACTCCCCATTTTTTGTCTGCCATGCACCTTATTCTCTCACCCACTCCTTAACTGCCAGTGTCTCTCAAGGTTGTCCTGAGGCCCTTTCTAGTACTCTCCCTAGAAGACAGATCTCACTCTCACCTAAGCCTTCCACTATTTCTTTACACTGGTGACTGGAAACCCTTCACTTACAAATCAGCTTGCTCTCCAGAGAACAGTATTCTCAACTACACCTAAATCTAAGTACACCTGCACTTGATCTGCCATTGTATCTTTCGGATATTTGCCTTATTAATATAAATCTGGCCCTTCTTATCCACTTCATTCAGGTCCTCACAATTTCTCACCTTTACCACAAAATTATCTTCCAAAGTATTATCCTTGCCACCTTCCAAATCAATTTCCTTTTGTTAAGTCTCTAAGACCCACACCTGGACACATGATTTCTCTGTTCAAAATACTTTGGCGGTTTCCTCACTGCCTCCAAGGTAAAATAGAAACTCCTTAGAGTCATACATAACTTGGTGCTTGCCTGTCTCTCAGGCTTTATGCTTCATCACCAAACCTGTAACATCTAAACCTCAGATATGTCTAAGGACCCGAGTTCCCCAAATGCAAAATTTCCTTTCTCACCACCATGCTTTCTTTGCATACACTCTCTCTGTTGACAGCAATATCACTCCTAAAACTCTATCCCAGCTCTCTAGTGATCCTTCAAAACTCAGCTAATACATCATCTTCCCCTGGAAATATCTCCAAACCCTGAAGTCTGAGCAAGTGCTATGTTGCCATCACACCTATTTACAGCTCTACTAATAACCCATCACACTGCCCTTGGATGATCTGGCCAGTCTAAAAATTCTCTGAAGATAGGAAAGAAATGCTTTTACTTTCTCTCCATGAGTTATCTATATATATAAAAGCCTAATATGCAAATTGTCCCCATGGGAGTTTGATTGGGAGGCCGATCACTCACTATGACGTATGCTGACCATCAGGGGGTGGTGCTGAACAAAGGAAGGCCCTGGCTGGCAGCCAGAAGAAAGGCCCCATACAGAAGCTGGAAGGACTCTATCAGCCCTGATTGCCAGCCATGTCTAGGGACCCTACCTGTGCACAAATTTTGTGTACGAGGCCTCTAGTTCTTAATAATTACCTAATGGTAAGTAGACACTACATTAAATAAGAGAATCCCACAGAATAAAATGCAAGGCTAGAAAATTTTTAATGGGCTAATAAAGTCAGTGAAATAAAAAAGTTAACTCAACCATCCAAAAAATTTAATTAGATGGTCTATGTTAGGACGTATTGATCTGGGCAATAAAAAAATATATCCTAAGTAATCATTAAAATATCACATACTCAACAAAAGCAACAATTTAAAACCTTAAAGACTAAGTATGTTATTCTATAACCTTGTTTTTCATATTATTTCAATTCTAATTCTACTTATCTGTTCCTTTCTTCAGTTCTTTACATTAATTTTCCTTCTAATTAAATTCTGCATTCTTTCCTTCCATCATCCAATCCTTTTCACTTCTACTTTCCCTTTCTCTGCTATTCTTTGAATATAACAGGAAATTACAAATACTGTCTTTGCCATCTCTGTCTGCAAGTTTATATTAAAGAAAGGAATGGTCAAAAAGCATTGAATGAAATTATGTCACCAGTCAGATTGTTAGACAAAACCACATGCATTGATCTAGGTGGATGATTTAATAATACTAAACAGTAACCTGAGCCATGTGCATAATAAGTAGTCTGACAGGCATCAGCCAGTCCTTGGGGTGATGACAGCAAGACAGTGGGGAGTAAGAGAAAAGAATAGCCAACTTGCTGGCATTGAGGGCAGTCACAGCCCAGCCTCACAATAGTCTGCAACTTGTGTCTGCCCTTCAAGAGGAAGCAGAAACGGCCATGGTGAAAGCAAGGAGCTGTCAGCTATCTGGACTAGCACAGCTGAGTAACCAATTTGACACTGAGAGCAACAGCAGCCAACTACCACCAGCTGCTAGTCTGAGCATACTGGCCTGGGTACAAACTTGGAGACACAAAATAAAGACTACTATTCCCAGGCAACTTCTGAATTTTAGTTTTACTACAGAATAGATTCTGAGAGAGGCAGAGAAGCACCTGGAGAGGAATTATTGTATATACAGTATTTAAACGATGTTGGTAGGGAGAAACAACTTTTGGAAGGATAGCAATTGCTAGAGGGAAATAGGTTGCATTCCTTTAAATTACCTGAAAGTAACTTTCCAAAACCACTCAACACTAGGTCTTGGAGGCATACGAAAGTTCACCCTAAAGATCAACGTTTTACAGAATTCACAAACAAAAATAAGATCTCTTTAACCTTACACTCAGCAAAACAATGTAATAGTAAAGGTATGTTTGAAATGTTTCTAAAACATCCTGGAACTGGACAGTCAGCAGCACCTTTAAACAATTTAATTCAAAGCAGTGCAGGGCAAGTTTACGCGCTTACCCGTGTCCAGGAGTTGAATTTCGATTCTCCAGAACTCTGTGGTTCTTTGGTAATTAGACAACCTAAGCACCATGTTAGAATTTTTTGGCTTTCATCTGCAAAGAGAAAAAAACTAAAATGAGTAGGTTTAATCAAATAAAGGAAAAGATAAACAGTATTAAAAATGTAAAACATTTTATTTACAGGAAATATGTCTATTATATTTTAGGAAAATCTCAAACTACTAAGTTCACAGAATAATCATTCAGGACCACGTGTGAAACAACTTTGTGGGGTTTTTCTTCTTGTGGGTTTGGGATCATGTATGCTCAGCACTTGTGTGGTCAATTCCCTTTCTGTTACAGCAGCAACTTTTAAAGCCAAAAGAGAATGATGGAAAGAACTAAAAGAACTGGGCAAGAACAGTTCTTCATTTCTCAAGATCAGTTCTTTATTTCTCAAGATTAGTTCTTTATTTCTCATTAAGTTTATTTCTCGTTAGTAGTTTCAACCTCTTTAAGGCAACATAATTATTATAGGCAGCATTCAATCTTTCAGATTTAATCATTTAATTTTCTAATTTGCCAAAACACCCTCCCTTTTTAAAAACAAACTCAGAAAAAGATTGTTTAATACCAAACGGTTTGCATAAAATAGAAGCCTCTTAACATTCTTTTAATTTTTACTCTGAAATTTAAAACTTTAGTAAATATGTGATGAAAATGCTGAACTTTGAAATCTTGTATTTGATGGTTATAATTGTTTAGAGAGCCTTTTTTTTCTCTCTCTCTCTCTTTTGGACAATGAGTTCATTCCAGCTGGAAATTTTGTAACAGGTTTGAAAAGCAAAGGAGGCCTAAAGATGGAAGATGTCAGTTCCCCAAACTAGAGCCAAGCAGCTAAGACTTTATCACAAGGCCATAGAGCTGGGACTGAGGAAACCCAGCACCTGGCATCAAGCCTTTGCAGAACCACCTGATGCCTGGCGGGGGCAGAAAAATAAATTTTCCTTCTAGCCTTCTAAATTCTTCTGTCTGGACTAATAATCAAATTAACATGAGACAGATTAACAGAAAAACATGACCAAACTTATTATGTATGCACATGTGGATGTTCCATAAGAATAAGGGACCCTGGCCCTCCCAGTGCTGGTTCAGTGATTGACAGTTGACCTATGAACCAGGAGGTCACAGTTCAATTCCCAGTCAGAGCACATGCCCAGATTGCAGGCTCGATCCCCAGTAGTGACTTGCAAGAGGCAACCAGTCGATGATTCCCTCTCATCATTGATGTTTCTCTCTCCTCCTCCTCCTCCTTTCCTCTCTCAAATCAATACAAAATATATTTTTAAAAATAAAAAGAATACGAGACCCAAGGAAAAATAGGGCAGTTAAAGCTTACATGCTACCTTGAGCTGAGGAGAGGGATGACCATTATGATCTTGGATTTTACAAGACAATTTACAGGGAGATGGAAAAGCAAATGTCTGATAAGTAAATGTTTGCTGGACTGTTTTTAACAAGGGTCACAGAGAGAACTTTGATCAAAGGGCCTTCCCAGGTTCCTCCCTATCACACTCAGTTCATGTCAAACTATCACTGTCTATAACAGCTTCCTTCCTGGAGCAGGTCCTCTCTAAATCCTTTTAGTAGTTGGGTGAAGGGGTGAGGGGGGCAAATTTAAAAAAATATATATTTTATTAATTTTTTTACAGAGAGGAAGGGAGAGGGATAGAGAGCTAGAAATATCGATGAGAGAGAATCATTGACCAGTTGCCTCTTGTACACCCCCTACTGGGGATGTACCCACAACCAATGTACATGCCCTTGACTGGAATCGAACCTGGGACCTTTCAGTCTGCAGATCGATGCTCTATCCACTGAACCAAACCAGTTTCAGCAGGGGGCAATTTTTTTTTATTTAAGTCTTTTGTTAATTAAAAATAACCAGCTTAAAATAATCAATATTCCAAAAGCATATTTTGGGGTAAAAAACTCAGCACACAGAACCCCAAGCAAAAGGAACCCAAAGAGGACCACACCAAGACACATCATAATTAAAACTCACTCTTTACCTTCTTTCTTCTACTATCTCATAAGCTCAGCATCTCTAAGGGATTCATTAATAAGAAATAAAGAATCCCTAGCCAGTTTGGCTCAGTGGATAGAGTGTCAACCTGTGGACCACAAGGTCCCAGGTTCAAATCCGGTCAAAGGCATGAACCTTGGTTACAGGCTCCTCCCTGGCCCAGGCCTTGGTCAGAGCACATGCTGAAGGCAACCAATCAATGTAATTCTCTCACATCAATATTTCTGTCTTTCCCTCTCTCTTTTATTCTCTAAAAATCAATGAAAAAATATCCCTGGGAGAGGATTAAAAAAAAATCTTTTTTTAAAAAGGAAAATACAAACTACAGAAACTACCTCTGCATTTTCAACCACACAAGACACTAACAGTATTTTTTAAACCTATAAATATCTATAGGCTTATAGTCTCCTAATAACTAACATATTTAAACAAATTTTATCAGGAGTTATTCGGAGGGACTCACTTTTCCCCCTAGTTTCCATGAGCTTGCCTGAGATCAATTTATTTAAAATACCATAATTTAATGTCTAATGATCTTAGCATTCTTCAGGTTGAACCAATCCCACTGATTAAAAATATGACTATTTATATGGCCTATGTTTTAAAAATTAGAAGAAATTCCATCTTTGTGTCACAAGTGTGACAGACACATCCAATGATAAGCTTGAGACAGCACAGAAAGAAGTTAGGAAAAACTCCCAACTAGGAGAATGAGGAATTCGGAGCAACATCACAGCCGATAAGCTGCTGGCTAGATCCTCTCAGCAAAGCCCCCACCTCCACACATGGTCAAAGGGAAACAGTTTATGGCAGAAAACGCCTGTGTGTGCACAGGGGTCATCAACAAGTACTGGCTGAAATCAGATCAATCCATGATGGAGGAAAAGGTGACTAGAGACCAACCCCAAGGTCCATTATAATGAAAACTGACAATACAAGTAGAAGGGGGACAAGTGGATAAACATCGTGACACTTGCAGAAGGGACCATATTGAGGACAAGGCCCTCTCCCAATCAGAAGGCAAAATCTTAATTTGGTGCCAGAAACGCTACGACACTTCCAAAACAGACCACGTCAGGAAAAAGACCCCCTCTCAACCCAAAGGCAAAGGTAAAATGTGTGTAAGCTTGTCACTAGACTGGTTCTAAACAGGGGGTTCTGCCCTCCAGCCCCCATATCATCCAGGACCTCAAAGCTCTTGACTTGCATAGAAAAGAATTCAAGAATGAATCCCAAGGTGAGCAAAAGCAAAAGCAAGCTTACATGGTTTCACCTGGTTTTAGAAGCTCATAATACCATATAAGGCACAACTCACAAGTTCTTCATGTCCACTCAGACATGTATTTTCACTTGTTTCATGGCCATGCCCTGTGAGACGTGCAACCAGGGGGCACCAGGTGGATGCAGCCAATCCTGGGCTCAACCCCTGATCCTGTCTCCAGGAACCCACATCCAGACCTCTTTCTTTCTCGGCCTACATAAAACTTGCTTTTGCTCTCCCTGGGATTCATTCCTGAGTTCTTTTCTATGCAAGTCAAGAGTCTTGAGGTCCTGGATGATATGGGGGCTGGAGGGCAGAACCCCCAGTTTAAAACCAGTCTAGTGACAAGCTTACACAAACAGCTTTCTGGGTTAAAAAGGAATGCATTTCCAAAACGCAGACAACACTAAAATAAAAATTAAAAAAAGAAAGAAGAGAATGTTAATGCATGGAGCTTAAATCTAAAATAACACAAAAGATAGGAGTTTTTCCCAGGTGTTGAGATATTTCACACATTTAGCTCAACAGTACTAAGTGTACTGGTGAATAATGCTGTATTTTGTAATAAAAGAAAACACGGTAATTTTAAGAGAAACACCAAAAGTGCTTTATTCAAAGTAATGTCCATTGCTAGCTACACATTTCCCCATCTTTCAGGTAATTGGTGGATACTGTCCCAACAGAACTTCTCTTGTTTTGAGGCAAATCATTCAGAGACCAAATTTCCACTTCTTTGTATGTTTTGAAGCGCTTCTCAGAAAGTACATGTGTAGTCTACGGCAATACCACCCTGAATGCGCCCGATCTCGTCAGAAAGTGCATGTGCCATCAATCAGAACAAGTGGTGATCTGAAGGAGCAAGGTCTGGTGAATACAGCCGGTGGGTTAATACTTCCCAGGCAAGATCTTTTAATGTGTCTTTAACTGGTTTTCAAGTGTGTGATGGTGCGTCATCATGGAGCAAAATTACTTTGCTGTGTCTTCTGGCACATTCTGGTCGTTTCATGATCAAAGCATGGTTTAAATTGATTATTTGTTGTTGGTAGCGATCAGTATTAATGGTTTCACCTGGTTTTAGAAACTCATAATACACCACACCTTCCTGATCTCACCAAACGCAGAGCATGGTCTTCTTTCCAAGCGATTTGGCCTTGCAGTCCATGTTGATGGTTGGCCTGGATCAACCCATGATTTTGTGCATTTGGGATTTTTCATCACCAGTCACTATTCAATGCAAAAAAAAAAAACTTTCTTCCGTGCCATTGAAGCAACCTTTTACTGATGACTTTTTGGTTTTCCATTTGTCTTTTCTTCAGTCGATGTGGCACCCATTTTCCTTCCTTTAAAATATTTCCCATTGCTTGTAAAAGATCAGAAATTGTTTGTTGAGCAATGTTTAATCTTTCTGCAAGTTGTTTTTGAGTTTGATATGCATCTTCATCCAATAATGCTTGTAACTATTGGTCTTCAAACTTTCTTCGGTAGATCTGGACATTCTTTGTCTTTCACATAGAAATCATCACTTTTAAATCATTTAGACCAGCGTTCACAAGTATCTTGAGATGGAGCATGTTCACCATAAGCTTCCTGAAATATTCAGCAGCACTTTTCTTAAAATAAAGTAATGAATTAAAGCTTCCTACAAATGCTCTTTTTATGGCATGAAATTCGACATTTTTAAGTGTACAAATATCTATGATGTTAACACCTTCAGCAAATTTGACATATGAAGTTTTGAAGCTTGTTGTCAATACATCAAAATAGCATACATATCAAATCGCATATATAGCAACATACGTGTAACATCATCTATTGAAAAAATCCTCATTATTAACTGGTACAATTAGTATATCTATTTTTCTCTCAAAAAAAAAAAAACCTCTGGTCAGTGTGTTCATGTGGTTAGAGCATCAGTCCATGCACCAAAGGGATACAGGTTTTATTCCTGGTCAAGGGCACATGTCTAAGTTGCAGGTTCAATCCCCACTCCAGTCAAGGAGTATATGGGAAGCAACCAATTAATATGTCTCTCTCACATCGATGTCCCTTTCTCTCTCTCTCTCTTTCTCTCTCTAAGCCAATGGAAATATTAGTAAAATGCTCAGGTGAGAATTAACAATAACAGAAAACAGAAAAAGAAAGAAAAAGAAAAGCCAAATTAATCTTCACCCAACCTTTAAGTAGACATGGTACGTGTAGGACATCCCTAATCCAGAATGTTAAAATGTGGGAGTTTGTGTTATAGAACTGAAGAAGTAGAATCAGAGGCATTGCTCATTTTGCACTAGTCTCTGTGGATTGCATGGTGCATCTAAATAAGTTCTTGATGATAGTCTTGCAGAAAAGGTTAATTATGGATTAGAGATAAGAAGACACTTTTCCCAGAGCAGAAAGCTAATAAGAGCCAGGAGCCCACCCCTCTAAAGCCTGCCATGTGGTGTGGTAATGATCTAACCCCAGCAGATCACACCCTGTGGTAGAAGCATTCCAGTCCTGACTTTCCTACGGGCCAGCCTCCCCTAAATGTATATGTTCACTGCACAGATATTTACAGAGGTTTTTGTTTTTGTTTGTTTGTTTGTTTGTTTTTGTATGCCAAGGCCTAGGAAAATACGGCTCACAATTTCTGCTCACTTTCCACTTAAGGAGAAAAAAGACCAGAAGTCGGAACAAGGATCTGAGGAGAAAGAGAATTTCACAGAGGAGCTCATGCTAGAGCTGACTCTTGGAGGACAGTAGATGAGATGGGGTTTTTAAGACAAGTCATGGAACTTTCTGGAGTTCTGGTTTCTTATTTGTAAAAGTGGAGGCTGACTAATTTTATCCCTATGGCCTAAACTTGTATCGTCTGCGATCTTTCCTTAGCACCTCATCTTCATTCCTTTGCCCCTTCTGACAACAAGAAACAAATTCTTCATCTCTCTCTGTTTCAATGCTTGTGCTGCCCTTTGAACTGCCCATTAAATTTCAGTTTCCTGTCTGAGGTACATCTTTGATTCTGAGCTCATAGAAAAGACTGACAGGCATAGAACAACTTGCTTTATGCTGTTGTTTCACTGGTTGGGCTTTTTCTCTCAGGAAAGGGTCTTTTTTTTTTTTACAATTATATAACATCAAAATTGTTTTTTTAAATACAGTAAACATGAACAGTTTCCATTAAGGAAATAGGTCTCCCAAAATGGCGAGAACAGGATATGAAATAAGGATAAGAAAGAAAGAAGTATTTGGAAATGGAGACACCAGAAAGAGAAAAGACAAAGTAGGTACTAGAAAGGGAGAGATGCTTTTTATTCAGTGGTGTTCTCTTCCTTGGAACCCTTGATTCTCTTCACTCATAATTAAACATAACAGCCATACCCTCTCTTCCTCACTATTTGCTATTTATTGCTGTGTAACAATTATCCCCAAACTTGGCAGCTGAACACAATACTTATTGTCTCAAAAAAAATGCTGCCTTCATGCTTTTAAACTATAGAAATAAAGTGTAAAGAATTAACTTTTATTTGAAATTTCAATTTAATATATAAAAAAATAAGATATTAGGTGGCAAATATGTACTGGTATATTCCTTTCATTTCCACTCTTTTTCAGAATAAAAAATTTGCACTAAGATCTGCTGTCAGTTTCCCTTCTCACTTCATTACTTAGCTGGATACTCCAGTCCCAAAGACAGGGCCTCCAGGAAGGATCCTGAGAGAGGCCATCCCCTGCAGTGTGCGTGTGGCATTCATGAATAACAAGTGATGGCTTGCACCTGTAAATTCCTAAAACAAAGTAAGCTCATTAGCAGTACATTTCAGTGGCACCACTAAAATATATAATACAGGACATGGATGTATGGCCCTGGTAAGAGTGGCAAATACAGTGATGTCTGTACAAAGAAGGCTTTGCCCTTTCAGATCAAGAACCTGAACAGGTCCCAGCTGGTTAGGCTTAGTGGATAGAGCGTAGGCCTGCAAACTGAAGGGTACCAGGTTTGATTTCGATCAAGGGCATGTACCTTGGTTGCAGGCTCCTCCCCAGTGCAGGCCCTTGTCGGGGTGCAGGCAGGAGGCAACCAACTGACATATTTCTCTCACATTGATATTTCTGTCTTTCTCCCTTCTGCTCTTTCTAAAAATAAATGAAAAAATATCCTCAGGTGAGGAATAAAAAATCAAGAACTTGAACAGGCTGAGTGGTTGGGGTAGGTAGAATCAACTCAAGAGAGAAGCAGCAGCAAGAGGCAGAGTGGAGAGGAAGAGAAGTAGGTAAATGAGGGTGAAGCCAAAGAAAGTGAGTATGAGTATGTTCAATGCACACATACAGGTATGCTCACAGGACCAAATGCTAATGTCCCTTCCCCACCTAGTTCATGTTTCTTATAGTAACTTATGTATGGCAGGTTAGGAGAGGGAAATTGCATAATTCTTGAAAACATCAAAGAGAAATATTAATTTTATTTTTTATTCTGATATCATGTTAACAATCAGTCTTTGACTAAAAAAAAAAACATGAAAAGTAAATATTACATTAGCTAATAATATAGTCAATTCAAGGCAATAAGCTTCAATTGTGCACCTTCAGATGCACCTGCTCCACCCTACCAAAGGGCCCAGGATGACATAGAATTAAAACCACAGTTCCTGCTCCTAAAAGACATTCAGTCTTCCAGGATATCAGACAAGCAAACCAACAATTATAAACAGTGTAGTTAGTATTACTGTATAATTAAGGGAAATGCCAGCGGATATGGAAGTACTAAGACTGGTTCCTAACTCAGCCCCAGCAAGGTGATTTAAAAGGTTTATGAGGAGGAGAAAGGAGAACAGAGTTCCAGGCATCAGGAATTGCATGTCATGGGCCCTAACTTCAGGCATCTCAGGCACAGTTAGTAATCTGACCTGCCTACCACGAGTGCGGTGTAGTTGTGGGGAATTAAACAGGAAGTGAGGCGGGACAGGTAGGCAGCAGATGAGTAAAGTTACACCTCCCCAATGAATCCCAAATTCCTCTCAATCTTTGGTAAAACCAAGTTGTCATCCCTAAATAATGGTAGAGTCATGAAGGACTCAGACTCTGAAGAATAATTTTACACATGAAAAACAGCACATGTGCTAATATGAAACTGGGAAATAAAAATTATTTTATTATAAAAACCATTTTATACTGAATTAAAAATGAGGTTATGATAATCATCAGGGAGTTTCTACCCTCTAACACAAAGAATTCTATTCCCTACAGATCTGCATCTGTGTGTGTGTGTGTGTGTGTGTGTGTGTGTATGTTTATCTATACAAACATACACAAATATATATAAACAATAAAGGATGCATTTTATAATGGAGCAAAGAATATACATTTAAAAAGTTGCTTTGTGAAATACAGAAAACAGGTTTATAATTTAAAGCTCTGTATTTTAGCAAGCAATGCAGACTAAAGTTATCATTAGAAGTTTGTGTTTTGAGAGAACATGCTTTGGATTCTTACCATATGCTAAGATAAAAGGATTCCAGCAAGTTTTTGCCAATAGTTGACCAATTGTGGGGAATCTTTCAATGATTGCACTTGAATCCTGTAAAAGAAAATTACGCTTTGGTCAGTAAAAGGGCCCTATATCACTCAGAAAGACTGAACTGACACTATGGTTTGAGGGAACTTGAATGCTTCTTGTTTTAGTATATAGTTAAGAAAAGTAAGGAAAATAAAATTAGAAAAGATCTTTTGGCATGTTATTCAAATAAAGTTTAACAAGCAACTGTCAGGTCTGATAAAATAATTGAATGGATACCCTCTCCCCTGGGAACTGACCTTTAGGTCATTTCACAACCAACATTCCCTTTTGCTTAGACCGCACTCCCCTTGCTAAGACCATTATCTTTCCCCTGGGGACCCTCTCAGAGAATGCTCTGCCCAGGAAAAGGCCGCCTAGAGGCCTTTAAAATCTCTGACTCCCTGGCTCTGGGTGCTGGTCCATTTGGGGGCTCAGCCCATCTGGTTTTCCAGATGACCTAATAAACTTATAATTCTTTACCACTTTGGCCTCACGCATTCCTCCTTCGGCAACCCTAACCACCACCTTTGTTCACTTAAACCAGGTCACCAAGACTAACATGTACAGCACATTTAGTAAAATCAATTTTGTTACCAAATTAACTTCACTTTACTCATACTTAACAGTCAGGAAATGCCACTTTATTTAAAAATAACAAAGGCCACATGACAGTGAAAAAGCATTATGGGTGATTAATATCTTTATAATCTCTTATCTTTATCCTGGAGTTTTATTCCAACAAAATAAAAGATGATCCTAACTCAGCTCCAGAAGGGCTATTTCAAAGAAGGTTTGGGAGGACAAAAACTCTGGAACTTATAAAAAGAAATAAAAGCAGCCAAAGATATTTATCTATGTTTATTACTACTTTGATTACTATATGCTAGACTCAGTCTACAACAACCTAAAACCTGAAACAATAATAGGCCAACTAAATAGAAAACAGCTTAAGATTTAAAAATATGCATGCTGCCCTAGCTGGTTTGGCTCAGTGGACAGAGTGTTGGCCTGCAGACTAAAGAGTGCCGGGTTCGATTTCGGTCAAGGGCAAATGTCAAGGTTGCAGGTACAGTCCCCAGTGTGAAGTGTGAAGGAGGCAGCCAATAGGTGATTCTCTCTCCTCACTGATGTTTCTGTCTCTCTCTCTCTCTCTCTGAAATCAATAAAAATTAAAAATGATTTCAAAAATAGGCATGCTGTTGTATAATGGCCTTTTCCCACTTCCTTATCTTTCAGATAAAGTTCAAAAATGAGACCAAATTGAGGTAATGTGAACAAAGGGTAAAATGATAAGCATTTTCTACTGCTGCAGCAATAAATTCTTCACATTGTCTCAGCATCGAGGCCAGTTTTAAGACTTCCTGGGACCACTTTAAGGTCAAGTTACAAAAGTCTTATTATAAAAAACAATTTTAAAATTAGCATTGATTGTTCATACAGACTGCTTCTTTCTTTGCAGGGTCAAAAGACACATGAACTCATACCACCAATATGAATTATCCTTCAAATTTCCTACTTGCTTCTGTTATTATTATGGGAGTAAAAGTATAACACAAAAGGTCTATGTTGAATCACAATTTTGCTTTGCATCTTGAAATGAGATAATAAATATAAAACAAATAATATTTTGATAATATAAAAATATATTAATTTATAAATATATCTATTAGAATAAAAGTAAATCATACCAAAATAAAAATATATCAAATCTTAATACAATAAGTTATATGACAACTGTAAAGACATTCAAAATCTTAAATATTTACCAGAAAAGGCCACTTAAAATATCTAAGTCAGAGACCATTAGGGTAATACAGACAAGAAACCACTTCCTGTCTGTATTACTATGGGTAAAATTCGTCTTTCTACTCCTTCAATACAGTAGGTCAATACTACAAATTCCTGACCTTGGATAAAATTAAGGCTTGGTGAAATCTGGTAAAGAGCCCCTGCTGGCATTAATTTTGGTCCACTACTTACCATCTCTTTTAAGGTTTCATAAATCTGCCTCAGGAACTCCTGGAACTGAGGTAGGTGATGGCAGATGTCTTGCTGGGTTTCCAAAGTGGAGGCCTGGCCCCATACAGACAGCTTCCGCATCCAAAACTGATAATCAGAAGAAAGTCCTACTGAATCTTGAGCCATATCAAAAAAGGGGCAAAGGTGATGTACCTTCACTGTGGCCTGTTAAGCAATGACAGAAACAGCACAATTCAAATCTGTAAGAAAGGGGGAAAACGAAATATTTCTTATTGATGACATTATTATAAATGTCTCCACTTTTCCCCGTCTTTGCTTGCCTCCACCAGACCATCCTCCTCTCCCTTCGGCCCTCATCACACTATAGTTGGTGTCTGTGGCTATGCATACATTTGGCTAATCCCTTCACCTTCTTTCATCCAGTCCTCCCTACCCACCTCCTCTCACACCTGTCAGTCTGTTCCATGTACCCATGCCTGTGGTTCTATTTTGTTCATCAGTTTAATTTGTTCACTAGATGCCACATGTGAGATCATACGGTGTTTGTCTTTCTCTCACTGGCTTATTTCACTCAGCATAACAATCTCCAGATCCATCCATGCCGTCCATCCATGCATAAAAGGTAAGAACTCCTTTCTTTTTACAGCCCAGTTATATCCTATTGTGTAAATATCCCAACGCTTTTCTATCCACTCATCTACTGATGAGTACTTGTGACAATATAACTAATATTGTTTCCAGATCTTAGCTAACATAAATAATGCTGCTATGAATATAGGGGTCCATGTATTTTGAATTGGTGTTTTGGGATTCTTAGGATATAGTCCCAGAAATGGAACTGCTGTGTCAAAAAAGACAGTTCCCTTTTTTATTTTTTGAGGAACCTCCATAATGTTTTCCACAATGGCAGCACCAATTCACTCTCACACCATATTGCACTAAGGTTCCCTTGTCTCCATATCCTCTCCAGCAGCTGTTGTTTGTTGATTTACTGATGGTAGCCATAATGGCAGGTGTGAAGTCAGATCTCACTGAAGTTTTAATTTGCATCTCTCAGATGATTAGTGACCATGAGCCTTTTTTCATGTCTATTGGCCATCTGTATGTCCTCTTTGGAGAAGTGTCTATTCAGGTCCTTTGTCCGTGTTTTTATTGGATTGTGTGTTTTCTAAGTGTTGAGCTATATAAGTTCCATATATTTTTTGGAAATTAGGCCCTTATCATATACTAGAGGGCCAGTGCACAAATTCGTGCACAGATGGGGTCCCTAGGCCTGGCCAGCAATTAGGGCCATCTAGACCAGTCCCAATTGGGGCCTGCCAGCCAGGGGAAAGAACGAGAGGAACGGGGCAATCAGAGTGGCCAACTAGAAGGAGGGGCTGGCTGGGGGGAGGAACCACAGGAGGGTGGCCGGCTGGATGGATTGAGGAACCTGCAGGGGGGAGGGGCTGCAAGAGGTTGGCTGGCTGGGGGAAGGGGTCTCGGGGGGTTGGCTGTGGGAGCATCTGTCCCCTGGTGGTCAGTGAGCATCATAGCAACCGGTTGACCGGTCATTCGGTCATAACAGTTGCTTAGGCATATAGATATAGAGGTAGATATAGATAGATTATAGATATAGATATAGATATAGATATAGATATAGATATAGATATAGATATAGATATAGATATAGATTATTGGCAAATATATTCTCTCATGCAGTTGGTTCTCATTTTGTTGATAATTTATTTTGCTGTGCAGAAGCTTTTTAGTTGGATGTAGTCCCATTTGTTTTTTTTCCTGTTTCCCTTGCGCTAGGAGATATATTGGCAACAATATTATGAGAGATGTGAGATTTTATTGCCTATGTCTTCCTCCAGGATTTTTACGGTTTCGTGACTCATATTTAAGTCCTGTATCCATTTTGAGTTTATTCTTGTATGTGGTATAAGTTGATGGCCTAGTTTCATTTTTTTTTGCATGTGCCTGTCTAATTTTCCCAACATCATTTATTAGACTGTCTTCATTCCATTGTATGCTCTTGTGAATTATTAATTGGTCATAAAGGCGTGGGGTGATTTCTAGGCTCTCTGTTCTGTTCCATTGATCTATATGCCTATTTTTTTCTGTCAGTACCAAGCTGTTTTTATTACAATGACTTCGTAGTACAATTTGATATATGTTATTGTGAAGCCTCCAAATTTGTTCTTCTTTCTCAAAATTGCTGCAGCTATTTTAGGTCTTTGTTTGTTCCATATAAAATTTTGGAATATTTTCCTCTAGATCTATGAAATATGCCACTAATATTTTAATATGAATTCTATTGAATCTATTGATTCTTTGGGTAGTATGGACATTTTAATTTTAATGATGTTAATTCTTCCAATCCATGGAACAAGGTATAGGCATCCACCCACTTATTTGTATTTTCCTCAATTTATTTTTTCAATGTCTTATAGTTTTCTAAGTACAAGTCTTTTCTCTCCTTGGTTAAATTTACTCCTAGGTACCTTATTTTATTGTTGTTGTAATAGTAAATGGGACTGTTTTCTTGCTTTTTCTTATAGTTCATTGTTGGTATATAAAAATGGAAAATGAAACATTTAAAAAAGGGTATTTTATTGGTGACTTCAAGTCACTGATGAGTAGAAAGGGGATTACAAGGGACTAAAACAGCATGCTTTCTATAGAGTCATTGTGAATTATTTTTAAATGTGTCACCCAGCTGTAGCTTCAATTATTACCATCTGAACTTTTTATCATGAGTAATATCATTATACTAAAAGGCATTATACCTCCACAGGCATATGCTAATTATGTGCAAAAAGCCCAGCTGATAATACTTTGTATTTTTTTTTAAGATTGAGCTATTTTTAAATATTCAGAATATGAAATTCCTTTGTGTATTTTAATGTAGTGGGAAATCAAAAACATCTATAGGAATTTAAGAAATGTTTTTGAAGTTCTTATGCTTTATGTGCATTTCTGGCTTCTCATAGGTGTAAAAAAAATCTCTATGCATTACTGTCTAATGAATTTTCTTCCCAGTATCTCTTTCTTAGAAAAAAGTAAAAGAATTTATTTCACATGTATTGATTTGAACAACCTGTATGGCTGCTGTATATGCTTGATCTCATTGACAAGACAAATCATATTTTAATAAAATGTTATGAACTCCAATTATTGAAGGGGGTGTACTAGTCCTAAGTGACAGAAAATAAAACCTCATAACCTTGACTTACTGTACCTGAAGTGCATATTAAACAGACAACGAAGTCAAGCAGCCAGCATGTGCCTCAGGCAAAGCCAGGGAAACATCGCCACGTGCTCCACTACCGTCCCAGCCTCCGGCCTCCTCACCGTGGGAAGCACACCAGGCAGAGCAGGGAGGGCTGCTTCAACAGGTGTAGCCTTTAAAGACATACTTTCCTAGGCAGGGATAACACAGCCACCTAATTTCAAATGACTACTCTGCAAGTGATGAGCTTAAATCCTCATCAGCAAGGAAGAACAGATAAAATGTTGCCAATTAAGTGTCTAAAACATTAACAAAGAGGTTTTTATTACTAAAAAAGAAAAAAAAAATGTGCCGTAAAAGATTGTACAACTGCCCTGGCCAGTGTGCCTCAATTGGTTGGAACTTGCTCCTATACACCAAAAGGTTTCTCTCTCTCTCTCTCTCTCTCTCTCTCTCTCTCTCTCTCTCTCTCTCTCTCTCTCTCTGTCTGTCTCTCTCTCTCTCTCCCTTCCTCCCTCTCTTCTCTCTCTCTAAATTCAATAAAAACATATCCTCAGGTGAAGATTTAAAAAGAAAAAAAGATTTGTACATTTTGTTGCTGCACAAAAAATATCTAGACCAGGATATTTAAAATTTTAAAATGGTACCAAAATTTTAATTTTAAAGAAGGTTCATGTTTAAATGGGGAGAAAAAAGCTTTAAGAATAGAGGGAATAGCCGAGACTGGTTTGGCTCAATGGATAGAGCATTGGCTTGGGGACTGAAGGGTCCCGGGTTCGATTCAGGTCAAGGGCATGTACCTTGGCTGCGGGCATATCCCCAGTAGGGGGTGTGCAAGAGGCAGCTGATCGATGACTCTCTCGTCGATGTTTCTAGCTCTCTATCTCTCTCTCTGTACAAAGTTAATAAAATATTTTTTTTTTTTTAAAATAGAGGGAATATATGCATAATGTCAAATGCCATATAATAGCCAAAAATTATTCTTCCCCTTCTCTTTTTGTCCTCCTCATCCAATCATCACCAATACCTGTCAATTCTATCTCCCTAATTTTATTGCTCTCCACTTTGTTGTGCTTCCAGATATTGCACTTTCATCAGCATTGAGACAAAACTTCCACGGTGAATCATAATCTATTTTCACCAGCCAAATGATTATGATTCACTAAAGGCTCAGATAGTGGTTAGCATTTTTTTTTTTTAGCAATAAAGTATTTTTAATTGCAAACTTAAAAGACCACAATGTAGTGTAAACATAACTTTCATATACAATAAGAAACCAAAAAATTGGTAACCCGCTTTATTGCGATATTCACTTTATTGCGGTGATCTGGAACCAAATCCACAATATTTCCTAAGTACATCTGTGTGTGTGATTTGATTCGATCTCATCCACTTTTCACTTCTACTGCCTCCATCTCCATCCAAGTCTTCACCTGCCCCTCTCAAATTTACTCTCAATGACAAAAACAACTCCATAACACAACTGACATAAACAACTTTCCCAAACGCATACCTGACCCAGAACATTCCTGCTTAAATTCTCCCACTCCCTCCCAATAAATTCCTTGCAAAGAAACCCTAACTCCTTGTAAAATTAAAAATCCTAGCTCCTTACCAGAGTCTCTTAGGTCCTGCAAATGCAGATCCAGCAACCCTCCCGGCTCACATGTTCCTCTCCCCAGCTGACCCCAACAGTGTGAATGTAATTAATGCCATTAAATTTTACACTTAAAAATGGCTAAAATGACTGAAAACAGTTTGGCTCAGTGGATAGAGCGTCAGCCTGCAGACTGAAAGGTCCCAGGTTCAATTCCAGCCAAGGGCACATATTTTGGTTGTGGGCACATTGGCTGTGGGCACATCCCCAGTGGAAGGTGTGCAGGAGGCAGCTGATCAATGTTTCTCTCTCATCAATGTTTCTAACTTTCTATCCCTCTCCCTTCCTCTC